GTACGCTTCTAAATCCTTTACCCTCACCGGACAAATGAAGAGAACACCCTGTTCCCTCACCTCCATCCCAGAGCCTTGTACACATGGTCATTACTAGCAAGGTTTCCCTTGATGGTATCACTGTGACCAGAAGAAAGAGGTATAGATTTGAGGGCGACACCATCATGACAGAGATACCCGTTATTTGAATGATACACTTAGTGCAAGATCCTGATACAAAGGGAAGTTGTGTTTCTGTGTGTATGAATTAAATTTAAAACTCACAGTTTTAGCTGCAAATATTCTGGCACCAAAAACATGGTTTCAATTTGTTAGAAATACTGACTTTAGTGTAACACCTCATTTATTTGGTTCAAGAAATAGCCGACTAGAGGCTTCTCCATTTGTCTGGTCAGGTTGGCTTGAGAACAGCATCAAAGATTCATCAAACAATCAAAGTATCTCAGGGTCATGGACAGTACAGGAGGAGATCACCTGTTTGGCTGTATTATGTACCAATGCTTTTAAGTTAAACAAAAGGAGAGATAGGTTGTCAAAGAACTTACTTTTTAATGGCCTCCAGAAAGGGCTGTAATCCACACACCTACCGCAGTACCCTTTCTCAAGTGAAAGAGAGGAAGTAGTAGGAAAAGGACCAAGGAAGTACTATTTGCATTCCTCTCTCTCAACATGACATAGATTAACATTCAGACAGCAGTTTTTTCAGTCTTTCCAGGGCATTAAAACATTGCACTGATAGTCTCAGCTGTATTCCATACAAGAACTGTTAATTCCAAAATAATGCTGAATCAATTGGATGATTTACTTATTTATTTTTGTTTGATGTGGCTAATCCACATGAAATACTCAATACACAGTAGAAGACAGGGAGCGCAAACCTTACAGATTTCTTTTGGTCTCAGTTGATATTACATTTGCTGATCTCCATATGATCTTCTAGCAATGAGTTATTTTTCTTACAAGTTAATCTTAAAATTGAGACACATGTTTATTTACATATTTGTATTTTTACATATTCATAGGTAGTTATCCGAGCAAATTGATAGGCTACAGCACAAATTTCATGCTTCAAATCACACTGAACGTGCAACTAAAGTGAAAAGAAAATGACTCAAACTGAATTTAGGAGTATTTATATTATGCTTTCTAGATTTTTTAATATACTTAAACAAACAGAAACAGAAAGAGATCCATAGATCCGCTATTTGTATTAGGCTCCTTTCTAGAAACAAGGATATGTAAAATCTTTACTCTGTCTCTGAATTATCAGGTAAACTTTTTTACTTTGGAAATCAGAGCTTCTTTCAAACTTCTTCAGTTTCAACTTCATATTTATGACTATACTATGTTTTGTACCAGAAAGAAATAAGGCTTTTTCCTAAGAAGATCTAGAGAAATTGAACTGAGATTATAGTCTTCACTATATTTACAGTAATGAGAACTTAAGAAAAATGCAAATAATTCACATAAGTAAAATTGACAGTTTACATAACTGTGAAATAACATAAAAAATTTTCTAAACAAAAATAAAATTATAAATTCACTCAATACTGCACTTGCAATCTCTGGTAGAAATGGAAAAAAATATCAAAATTAATAGGCCCTTTACTACTGCCTTAACCATAAGGCTAAACCCTTACGAAAGAGGAGGGAGGGGAACAAAAGAAAATGGAGGGAAAAATTTAACTTTTTTCTGGTGAATTTGATGAGTGCCTAACATCCAACTGAGTGCCTAATATTCTGAAAACATTCTTACTCAAGTGACAGTTTCTATATTAATCTGGATGGACTTGAGAAATAAATGGGATATTGTTGTAGCATTTATTTACTCTTAAATACATTCAATTTTCTCACATGATGAAAGAGCCACATTAAAACCTTATTGTTTATCATTTTGTCTTTTGTTACACTTGGATTTTTTATTTTTACTGTACGAGTTTCTAAACTCCAAGTATTTGATGTATTTCAGTGATTATGATATGGCAGTAAGGGCAGCAAGAACTACGTTGCATAGCTGGGGGCTTCAAAGTTTAATAAATATTTCTAAAGCAATTTGAATTGTTTCATGAAGTACAATTGAAGTCAAATAAAATATAATCTTATTAATAAACTGGCTGCTGAAAAACAGCAGTCACTAAGTAATAATAATTCAGAAGTCAAACTCAGATGTTTGAGACTTGAGAACTTAGATACAAAAAATTATTTTGCTTGTCAGTGTTTTTGTTCTCACTTTCACCTTGACTTTTCTCACACCAAAATGCAGTATAAAATTTTAAATGCTGAGCAGCTTTCCTACATTATTCTTAGATTTTAACAGATAATATTTATTTACCAAAGGATTTCCCACCATCTCACTCAAAAATTAACACCAAACTGACTTACTAATACATTTCTCATGTGCTTGTATAACTTCACTGTTTTGTGGGATAGAACCTCTTGCACATTTGGGGTAGAACCATCTCCTCATTTCATGTAAAAGCTGCCTAGCAGCCTGACATCATTATTGTCTGAGACTTGCAAGCATTGTAACAAAACAAACATAAGTTTTAATACAAGTGTCATCCCAGATTGCAATGCAGTTTTTTTTAAATATAAAATTAGTTTTCATGCAGAGAATTAGAAGTACTGATAATAGAGTTTATAATGAAGAATAGCTGTATGTAGAAAATTTATTATGCCACTTCTGACTAAAAATTCTATCATTCTTTGTGAACACAAACTAGTACTAGTGTAGTACTAGTACTACACAATACTAGATAATATACAGGTGATGTTTTAATTAGGTTATGAACACAAATCTGTAAAGCACCTTAAAAAAAAACTATTCACTTCTGGTACTATAGGGAGGAGAGAAGAACAATGCAATGAAAAAATTTCACTTCCTCCAAACCTGACTAACAAGAGAAATTTGTTCTTCAGCTGGTTTAATCAGAACGTCCTATCATTTCCCCAAAGAGTTGTCTCTTGCTGCTTCAGCAGAATTTCCATTCTCCCTTCGTCCTTCAACATGATGCCATCTCACAAGAGACCACGGCCACTTCTATATTTTATCACCATCAGAATCCTTGGACAGTTTGTTTCTGGGACATTTGAAGGTTTTCCTCTCTGCTAAATTAGAAAATGATTCAGCGCTATAATTCTCAGAAGTATTTTAAGCTCGGTGAAAGCACAGACCCCAGATAAGTGGCTCCCTTTTTAGAAAGGGTAGCCCCACCTAATAAAAAATTTACCAGGTAAGTAAGAATTTGCAGGATTAAAATCTTAACCTTTTCAAGAAACTTCTTGAATTTTAACATGTAAATAAATACCAATGAATCAGGTACTAAAATTAACACATAACATTAAAACAAACAAAAAACCAACACTCCCCACCAAAAAATAAAACAAAATACACACACACACAAAAAAAACCAACATCCAAACCACAACAAATAGCATAACCATCACAGAAACTCTGTCTCAGTGTACAAAGGCAGCAAACCGCTTCTGAGTGGAAGTACTATACTAAGGGACAAGATGAAATACGGTTATGTGAACAAGTGTTCTAGGATTTTTATTCAAATTTTTTTGATTTTTTAAAATTCAAGTTTACTGTAAATTGATAGATATCTTTCATAAAGACTAAATTCATAACACATTTGTCCAATTATGCCTGTGAGATCTAGTATAAATTTGAAATAAACTCCACATTACCAACTTCATCTAAGCAACATCTTGGCAATCCAGGGTTAATCTGTACATTCCAAGATATATTAAAAAAAGTTCGAAAATAACAAAATTTATTATTTATCTGCAATGAAGTACTATCAGTATTAACAGTTTTAAATGGTGGAGGGGCAAAGATGGCTGAAGGGGATAAACACATTTTAGCAGTTGCTCATCCCTACTAGACTGCTAAAAATCCAATGCAGACAGAAGTGACTGCCACATCTGCCTGCTTGTCATCTCAGTGCCTTCTATGAAAGGGAATACAGGTGCTCACACACCAAGCAAGAGGCCACATACAATTGCCACTCCTTCCCTCCCATCCCCTGCCCAAACTAACACATCAGTGGTCCAGCGAGGGAGGCAAAGAGTAAAAGGATAAGACAGGATAAGACAGCTCAAAAGCTGTCCTTTAGAAAGTATCCTGCGGACATCTGTGCTAAGGTACATGACCCAGTCACATTTCACAGGCCAGTTCAGAGAATTCTGCTCTATGAGAGTTTTCTTTCCTTCTATTTTTCCTTCCTGTTTCCCCATCTAAGCAAGAATGCTACTGAAGCATCAGTGTGTGTGCACATTTGAGAATCACAGCATGAATCTGCTTTGTGTTTCTGTACCTTAAGTCAAAAAGGAGACAACGCTCACAACTGTACTGGAATTTGGGAAGGAGATTAGAAATACATATCAATGTGTTTAACAAGGTTTGCCTCCTACCAGTGGTCTTCAGTGAACAGAAGAACATTTACACAACTCAGACAAAAATGCAAACTCTTCCTTGGTGCAGACCAGCTTTCCCTAGTGAATTTCTGACGGCAGGTTTAAGGCTGACTTCCTTTCTTCATAACATTCAACCATGCATACATCTTGAATGGTTTGCATTCTTAGCTATGCCATTCCTGAACACTTTATTTTATGCAGTCACCTTGGTTTTAAATTTACAAATCTATTGCAACTGCAGGCAGACTCTGAAGCAGGAGGCATTAAAATTCAGAAACTCATAAGGAATACTAAAGATAACAGGACTTTCATTTTCTGGGATCCAGTGGTTTTAGCAATAAAACTTCTACATATTTTCAAAGGAATACATACCAAAAATTTATACCGTATGGTAACTGCCAAATTCAGGACAGTATCTCAGACTTTTCTCTGCAAACTCAGGTTTGCTAAAAGTATGGATAGCTTCTTAGCAAGGCCATGAATCAGATGAGGTGTCACACCCTTTGTACTAGGTAGGAATCATATCAGGTAGTCAAGAATGTACTTGAATATCGACGTCCTCGGTGAGTATCTATCCCAACTGGACTTCTTTTCACAGGCATAAACATTTCCACAAGCCAGCCAGCCACAGCAATTCCAATAAACTTTTCTGGATGGAAATGTGGTTTCAAATGAAAGAAAAAGAAAGACTTTCAAAATAAACACAATTCTGTAAAGATTTCATTGAAATAATTTGAGAGAAAAACATGGAAAGTTTCAACTTCTTTTGGAACTTTTGTTTAATTCTGTGCAAACAGCAACAAGGAAAAGAAACTTGGGTCAGCTACGGATCACAGACTTTTTCCTTCAACATGGAGGTATACTGTAAAATGCCAAAGCTCTTTTACTATGTTCACTTAAAATAAATCCTAGGAGCTTACAAGAGAAGGGATGACTTCAATTTTGGCTGGCTCCTAGAGAACCATCTCAGAGGCAACAAAGCAAACAAAGCTAGACCTGTTTAAAGAACAGTAGTCCCACAGAATAAGTTCAACTTCTTTTCTTCATTCTGAATATTTCAGAAGTATTTTTCACCTTATAAGTCAAATGTTTTCCCGTTTCAGCTCTTCCACTACCGAACCAAACCACTGGCTGTAAAAAAAAAAAAAAAACTTCATATTTTACAGATACAGTCATGAAAAGAAATGCCAAGGTTTTCCCAAGTACTTCATTTTGATCAAAAATGGCAAGGAAAAATAATCCAGCAATTATACCTCTTTTATTTGCTGCCCTGACAATACACATTTCTCACATTGCTAACATTTTAAAATGCAACAGGTTCTTCAGGCTGCAGATGTTCCTGTCTAAAATGCAAAAGGTCTGTAAAATCTGTTTACCAATAATGAGGAAAAAATGGGCCATTAATTAAAAATACAGCTGCAGTAATAAAGGAGCGCTGTGCAAAGCCCCTGCTACCCTTGATTTGCATGACCCAGTCACAGTTCACCTCTTCTTGCAATTCCATTTCCTAGCCCTGCTGCCCAGGGAGCTCATCAGGACTTGGAGGCAGCGGGTGGACTTACTCAGATGCTGGAGAGGAGAGATGAGTAACATATTGACCCCTCTTCCTCCTCATGTATTGCTGACTATTGACTCATACAACTGACTTGGTTGCTGTGCTGCTTCCACTATCAAGTATAATTGTTTCTTAATATAGATTCTTTTAAAACATAGGTTTAAAAACCACCAGTAGAGGCCCATAATTACGGTACCTTTTCTTCTTGAACCTCTTCTAATTCAGAGTGTAAACCTATTACTTCATATTGCTAACACTAAAAGGCTATACCCTGAATTTGTGCAAGTTGAATTCATTCTAACTCACTTCAACTCTGTAAATTCCTTTAAACAAAAAGTACACTGGTAAAACTTGCTTCAGTATAACAGTTTCCTAACAGTTCCTGATAGTTCTTCAATAAAGAACATTGCAGCATTTAGATCTTCAGTCTTTGCAGCAATCCAATAGGAAGTAATGGTAGGCATACCAATTAAAGCATTTTATTGCAATATTAATATTTACTGTCATTTCTCTAGAATCTCACATGTGAAAATACAGTGCAGGAATAAAAACAAAAACATATCATAGAAAGGTATCAGACCTAGACACCAGATTTTCTTCTTTTTGTCTTTCCCCTGCAGGCTATAGAGTCATTTGGACACTATATTAGTAAAAGAATGCTTTTCCTGATAAATTCTACAGGATTAATGCTTAGCTCACTGTGTAATTGGTGTATATTATTCTGGATTATTCATAGGAACTGAGGATTTATGATCATTAAAACTGTCAGAATTTTTACTTCTTATTCTGTTTTCCTTAGCTCAAGATATTCCAGTGTCCAATAGAACTCTGAATAATAACATAACTATATGGCTTCTGCAGCTCCATCATGATCTAGAAAAGAAGCCCTTGAGATGACAGTTTAACACAGTAATGTAGATTTAACCACAGAAGATTCCTATATTTCCCTGTGTCCAACTGGAAATTCAACATTAACAAGCCATCATGCCAAATTACAAGTTAAACACCTGGACAATATGATCACAAAAACAGATTGATGGACAAATTTCCAGTGCTTGTAAACCTTACAAATTTGTTATATAGTTACTTTATCTATTATTTAGAAGCATTATAAATATTATATAACCTTGTCAAAAATTTAGTCTCCTGATGGGACCTGTGGTACAGCTATACTAACAAATGCCAATCAGCAAATGTAATCTGCCTCAGTAAAACAAAGTGCATTTCTCTGTTATTTGCAGTAGTGCAATTAGACTTTCTCCTGTATATTAGGCTATTTTGTTTTCTCTCTGACACGTAACCTGCAGCAACTTTAACAGCCTCTTGCAAACCAACGTTCATTAAATTCTGCTGACATAACTTACTTGAGAAAGAGGAAAAAAAACTTTTACACTCAAAAGATCAAGCATGCAGCTGCTGTTTGGATTACTGGAAAGTGACAAGAACCTCTATCAGCATTCACCACAAGTTAAAAAGCAAGAGCTTTTTATCCAGGGCATATCCAGATATCCAGGGCAGCCTCCTGTCCACATACAAGGCATCCAATGCCCTACAGCCCACTCGGCCGCAGTCAGCTGTGCTGAGACAACATGGACAACCAGGAGTGCAGCCTCTCCCACCTTCACACAATACTTAGCACAAAAAAGCATCTGTGAAAAAAGGTCTTCAGTCTTCCTTTGCCACATTACATCCATCCCTTAAAAGTACAGACTTATCAATGACTCTTATGTGAAATTCTGTGGGAATATTCTTCCTTCCACATTATTGTTCAGTTAATACCCTCTCTTCTACCTAACCAGAAAAGAAAAAAGAAAAAAAAAGTTAAGGCTAAGAGAGTTTTTACTCCTGCAGTGAGGAGCACTTAACTTTTTCTTCTGATCCTACATACTGATGATTTGGAGAAGTGATATTACCTAGTACCACCAGTGCCACCTGCTCAAGAGCAGCTCTTCCTATGCAGCTAACAATATGCAGGCTGGCTAATCCCCTACCAATCTGCTTGCCAGTGCAGATGGAATACAATTTCAAAGCAAACCTTCTGGAAAATGTCTATGAAAAAAGACCGTCAACATTATTGTGACACTGCGTTTCTTATACCTCAGATCCAACAGCTTTTACACACAACTAAATAGGAAGAAAAATGATGAGAGAACAGCACAGTAGACTTCCCTCCTTCCTTTTTGAATAGAAGCTTATATCATAGAATGTGGGGTAAAATAGTACTGTGAAATGCATTACAGTGAAAAAGGAGTTATTTTCTGTATCCCTGAACTAGGCACTCAAAACATTTCTACTACAAGTAGGCAGCAATTTTACTTGCTTCCGAAGTGTTATTCTGTAAACGATCCCTTTAAACGTGCAGAGCTCATTGAAGTTGACTGCACTTATCTAAACCTCTTCACATAAATTATAAGAAGAGTAACCTTGAGAACCAGTAAGCTCCTAATGGAAAAAAATAAAAATAAAATAAAAATCAGAAGATTCCTGTTGATTGGAGGAAAAAAACGAAGTAAGAAATGATGCTATGTAACACTGAGATTTTGTCTTTTTTTTTTTTTTTTTTATAGTTCTACCTGGAGAAATGTTATCTACTTAATCAGATGAGACTGGTGGAGATGAAAAAAAGATGCCAGAATACAAGCTCTCCATTTTCTCTTGGGGATATTTCTTAATTTCTAATCCTGACAACGGTGAGGATGATATTACTTATAAGAGCTGCTCATCCTATTTCTACAAAACCTGCACTTTGCAGTTATATTTCAGTTCATTTACTGCTAGTAATAACAACTAATCATACTCAGAAACTTGGCACCAAAAAGGCATTTACTTCTTTAATTAACAATGAGCACAGCACAGTAGATGTAAACAGAAAGACAAGACATACCTGAGGGACAAGATGCCAACCAGAGAGACCTAGAAAGTCTCAAGCTGTGGCCCAAGAGAATCTTATGAGGTTCAACAAAGTGAAATTCAAGGTCTTACACTTGGATTGTGGCAACTCTGCCTGTCAACATAAGCTGGGGGAGGAAACAATACAGCACAGCCCTGCCTAAAAGGGCTTGGGAATATCAGTAGATAGGACGCAGGACGCTAGTCAGCAATGTGTCCTCACAGCCCAGAAAGCCAACCGTATCCTTGGCTGCATCAATAGAAGCATGACCAGCAGGTCGAGGGAGGTGATCCTGCCCCTCTATTCTGCGCTGGTAAGACCTCACCTGGAGTGCTGCTTCCAAATGTGGAGTCCCAGTACAGGAGAGACATGGACCTGTTGGAGCACATCCAGAAGAGGGCAAGAGAAATGATTCAAGGGATGGAACTCCTCCTCTGCAAGGACAGACTGAGACAGCTGGGGATTTTCAGCCTGGGGAAGAGAAGGCTTCAGGGAGACCTGAGAGCTGCCCTTCAATATCTGTAAGGGGGCTATGGGAAAGAAGGGGACAGACTGTTTCAAAGCTTGTGTTGTGATAGGACGATGGTTTCAAACTAAAAGAGGGGAAATTTATATTGGATACGAGGAAGAAGTTTTGTACTTCTGTCTGTACTTTGGTGAGGCACTGGAACAAGTTGCTTAGAGAGGTAGTAGATGCCCCATCCTTTGGAGACATTCAAAGTGAGGATGACAGGGCTATGAGCAGCCTGGCCTAGCTGTAGGTGCCCTTATTCATTTTAGGGCAGTTGGACAAGATGGCTTTTAGATGTACTTTCCAATTCAAATGATTCTACGATTCTAAATATCTGCAAGAAGCAAAATCATGTTCAAAAAAATAGACCAGATTACATGCCAGCTGAAAGCCAGGATCTCAGAGTGCTAGCTTCCTTACTTACATAGAACGTAGCAAGGACTACCTCTCTTATTCCACCTGCACTTTCATATTTCACCTTGTATAAGTTATATTCCCTTCACTCTGCATCTCCAGTCATATTTTCACAGGTCCAAAAACAAATTATTTCTGTCTTGTAAAGTAGACTATTTTCATTGCAGCCACAGAAGCAATTTTATTTTTTTAAATATCACTTGAGTTCATAACACTTTGGCCACGTTTAAGTATTCCTCTTTATTGTATTCTCTCAATGCTGATGATGGTTTTCTGTGCCATCTCTAAGGGCACATTTCCATTGCAAATATCTGTGTAGCATGCAGTTGCAACAGATCCCATCCAGCTTTAGATTAACCAGGATTTGTAACTAAAATATTTGACCTACAGTATCCTTGATTTCTTCACTGAAGAAGTAGAAACTCTTACAGATAACCTGCCTTCATACTATAACTGTTTCACTAGTTTGTCACACTAGGACATCACACATTCAATTTCTCCATGGTCCCACGATATTACCTTCAGCAAGAGCCATCTAAGACAAGTAAAAGTGCTATTTCTGGAAAAATTTCTATGCATTCTTAATGAATTATCAAGAAATCCAAGGTAGACAGTTGACAACGCAAAATGTGCAAAAAGCTTGTTTATTTTATTTTTAAATGTGAATAAGTAGTAAGGGAACTACATCATTGTTGTATTCATCCCTGTCAAAAATAAGTAAATGTCACCTAATACAGATGAGAAAGTATTTTCTTCTCTGT